AGAGAGAGATATGGAAACGAGATAGTAAGAAGCAGCGGCAGGGAAATGGCAGTAGTGGAATATTGCATAGACCACAGATTGTCAAAGAACAAACAAACCACAGATTGCCAAAAGAACAAACAAATCTGTCTCAAAAGAAGAGCAGCCAGTGCGTTTCTTAGAAACAAAGATGGTAAATGCTTTGAGTTCAGAATCAGGAGGGACCAGCCCTTGGAGAAGGTCATCATGCTTGGGAAAGTAGATGGTCAGTAAAAAAGAGGCAGACTTCAGGAGATGACTGACCCGGTGACTACAGCCCGGCCGGAGCACAGCAGAGACCAGGAGGACGGCACAGGATCAACAGGGGGTCGGGCTGTTGTACAGAAGTTGCTGAGTCAGCGCTCACTGGGAAGCTCCTGACAGCAGCAAACACTCCTTTGTTCTCCGCTTTTTCAAACTTACAGGTGTCCCCTAGCTGTCACTCCCCCTGCTGTGCGAGTTCACAGAGGTCTTCCTCATTCGCTTCCCCAGAATCTGGTGTGAATTTCCCTTCCCTACACTTAATTCTCTATGCTTAAACAAGTCAGAAGTTTCCAATGTTTTGAAATTTCAGGCTGTTGCAATGATGAATCTTGTTCATACATATTTTCTTAAACTAACGGAACTCTGTCTTTAGAGTAATTCCCAGACGTGGGCTTGTTTGCTCAAAAGGCAAAGACATCGTAGTGTTGCAGGCGCTGTAATTCCCCTCCACGGGGCCTGGGCTGGGTTGCAAGGCGGCGAGTAAGGACGAGTCCTCTTTCCCCACAGTGTGGCCAATCAAATGCCTGTCAAGCTTCTATATTTTTGTCCATCTGAGACGTGAAAAGCAGAAATTTGAAAAGCACAATTTTAATTTGCATTTCACGTATTATGAGCCAGGTTGGATATAAGCAAATTTTCCTACAGTGAAGGGTCATTTTCCTCTTTTCTGAGGAGTTGCTGTTCATGCCCGCCCTCAACCCCTTTGTTTTCCTGTGTTGGGATTTGGTCTTGTTTCCTTTCAGTTTTAAGGGAAGATTCAGGAGTAGCTAAGCTTGTATTAACTGTTTGCATCACCCCAAACCCAAAATGGAGCACTTTGCTCACCCATTCCTTCTGACACACGGTGAGCCTGTGCAGCAGCTCAGGCCTGTTCACACCCCATGCAGCAGCTCAGGCCTGTTCACACCCCATGCAGCAGCTCAGGCCTGTTCACACCCCATGCAGCAGCTCAGGCCCGTTCACACCCTGTGTGACAGTTCAAGCCCATTCACACCCTGTGAGGCAGTTCAGGCTCGTTCACACCCTATGCAACAGACAGTTCAGAGTAGAGCTGCGACAAGGACAAGGCGTAGGCTGGTCTATTCTCTGCTGTCGTCTTTGGAAGCAGCTTGCCATCCCTTTCTTCCACTGTCTCCCCTTTAGGTCACAGCCTAGCACTAAACTTTGCACCGCCTGGTGTGGTTGGGAAGCCTGAGTTCAGATTTGAGGAAGGAGAAGGGTTCCAGATGGAGGGACCTCTCAGTCCATGGCTGTTGCTTTCTTCTACCAGACCCTAAGTAGATGTGCCCACTCCCCAAACTGAAGGGCCAAGTGGGTTGAAGGGAGAAGAATATATGCCCTGTGGTCCAGGAAAGGTGTCCCATTCTAGCCTGGATGCAGGGTTTTGAGGAAGGGCACACACGAACTCCAGATGTGAAACAGAGTGTACCCCAAAGCAAACTCCTCTCTCTTATCCTGAGGAGAGCTCAGCCACTCTGAGTAGTGGACAAGCATTCCCAGCAGGTCAGCACCCCTGCCTGCCTTCCCCCAGCGCAGGACTGTGGACCCTCTAAGGGTGGGCAGGGCCTGAGTCCCGTCCGTTCACCACCCCCATTCTCTCTTCCTGTCTGTCGGTCTGCTCCAGTCCCTACATTCAACAGCTGGTCACTACGGCGGCAATTTAGGTCTTTGGTTTGAAGCCTCTGAAACAGGTCCTTGTTTGGGGAGCAGGTCATGGTTATGTTCCGTTGCAACCAGCTCATAGCTGACCCCTCAGCGGATTTTCAAGGGCAGTGAATCGCAGGAAAGGAGATTGCCCATCTCTCTCCTGCAGAGCAGCCTGTAGATTTGAACTTTCTGCTTTTGGATTTGCAGAGCAACTCCTCACAGCTAAGATTCCAGCACTCCCTGCTTGGTAAGGGGTCCATTTAAATCGCACCTGGATGAGTGTGGTTCATTCCAGTTCACCCCTTCCTCCAAACACAACCCACAGTGAGGCCCCAGTAAAACTAGCACTGTCCATCTCAAACTTCCATGACAAGTGACCAGAGATGACAAGACAGCCTTTTACACCCAAGTTCAAGGCCAAGGGTGCCCCGATGCTGCCGCCTACCGCCCAGGCCTGGTACTGCACCCGTTTAGCAAAGCCAGCGCCCAACTTTTTGGTGTTAATCAGTTTTGAACAATGACTTTGTGGAAGGGAGAAAGCTGTGTGTCTACGTCTGAGAGCCCTTATCCTGTTCACAACGCTTAGAGCCCTTCAAGGCTCCAAAACCCAAATCCTAGAGCTCGAGTTCAAAGTGATAAAGTGAGCTGAAGAAATCTTTTACTAGCTCAAATTCTCTTCTGGTGCTTGAGACAGAAAACTGTTTGATGGAAGATGAAAGAAAAGAGGAATGTCCAAAACGCACCAGGTTTTTAGCATAATGTTTGAAAATGCTGTGAATGATCATGTGAGATCAATGTTTCAGTACATTTCCATTTAGAAACCAAGGCCCGAGAAAATGTAAAAGGACCTTTATTTTTTTTGTCTATGTTTTTATTACTCTGTTTAAGATTGGGAGCTCTGGTGTTATAGTCTACATGGAGTTTAGAAGAGGCCATAGTACTAGGTATATTATAGTTAATATTAGAAGGATTTTGGCTGAAAAGAGAGAGTACCAGAGGAATGTCTATTTGTGTTTCATTGACTATAAAAAGGCATTTAACTATGTGGATCACAACAAACTGTGGCTAACTCTGAGGTGAATGAAAATCTCAGGATACTTGATTGTGCTTATATGAAACCAATACTTGGGCCAGGAGGCAGTTGTTAGATCAGAGCAAAGAAACACTGCATGGTTCAAAATCGGGGATGTATTCTTTCTCCATACCTTTTCAAGCTACATGCAGTTACAGATAATCTGGGAGGCTGGGCTCTCTGAGAAGGAATTTGGCATCAGTATTGGAGGAAGATTCATCAACAACCTATGTTATGCAGATGACACAATCTTGCTTTCTGAAATGGAGAAGGATCTGAGGCTCTAGTTGCAAAATGGATTGAAGCTCAACATCAAGAAAACAAAGACTCTCACCACTGAGCTGATTGGCAGCCTCATGATGGATGGTCAAGAGAATGAGATTGTTAACAGCTTCAGCTTGCTTGACTCCACAATGAACTCTCTGGGTATCAGCAGCCAGGAAATAAAAAGACAAATTGCCTTTGCAAAGTCTGCTGTCAGGGACCTCTCCTGAATCCTGAAGAACAATGTCAGTCTGGAGACTAAGGTGCATCTGATACTGGCCATAGTTTTTGCAATTACTTGCTATGCATCAGAAAGCTGGACAATGACTAGGGAGGATAAGACAGTGTCGTTGTGAGTCATACTCAACTTGATGGCACCTAACAAGGCGACCAGAGCTCCCTATGTTTTGGATGCTGTTGCAAAACACCGTCATACGTTTTGCCAAAAATATCTATTGCTTGTACACTTCCTGGTGAGCTCATTTCCCTTGGTCAGACTGTGTGCCCTTCACCTCAACATAAAAACTAACATGTGTCTACCATCCCCAGAGTCCCATCCTTGTCTCCCCTGCTCACTGCTGACAACCACCAATGCGGGCTGGCCACAGGGCACACAGACCTACTATGGTCTTCTTATGCAAGTGCAGTTCTGCATTTACTCCTTTGTGCTGGGTTATTTTGATGGATACTTTGCTAAAGGGTAAAAAAAAAATCACCTCTGATACAGGTGTACAAGGAACACGTCAAAAAGTTTATTGATTTTATTCATTAATGAAGGAACTAGTAAAACCTAAGAACTAATTCAGGAAAGAATCAAGCTGAAGAACAGACACAAGTAGGCGGTCAGGAATGCACAGGGGAGTTTGCAGAGCGATGGAGAACCGCTCACTCTCCACAGAGCACTCACCTGTTGCATCTTCATTCAACAAACTTCATTTGCATCTTCCTGACCGAGAACTATCTGTATTACTGTTGTCATTCTACAACCCACAGAGTTGTAAAGCGTCTTGTCAGGTATGAAAGGAGCAAGCCCCTCTAGCCTCGAGGGGCAAGTTCCAGATCAACCGCAATGAAATCAAGCAGCATCTTCAAGGCTTTGTAAGTGGTGAGTGGAAGCTCTGACAGTCAAGTTCATCCCTGGGCCTGACATCGGTGCAGGCTCTGCCCACCGTGCTGGGTAGACTTGGGACGCTGACAGTGCTTCCCAGCAGCAGTCTGTAGACTTGAGCCCTCCTCACCCATCACCTCTAGCTGAAGAGTCCTGGACTCCAGAATCGATGCTACAGCAACTCTAGAAGACTCCAGAACCGGAATGGACCCCTGCCATCTTGAGCGGGACTTCTCCTCTTCCAGGGTCCCCTCAGGCGTTGTGAGTACTCCTGTGGCAGGGAAAATGGTACAAGACTCTCCAGCGTCCCACTGTCCCAGGGAGGCCAGAGACCAGCCGCAGCTTGGGCGGTTCCTTACCTGGTGGGCGCCGGACGCTGGTAGAGCCAGATGATGCCCTCGTCATGCAGCCGCTTCCACAGCGCCTGCTCCAGCTTGAAGTCGTGGTTGATGTAGAAGATCAGCGGCTTCCAGGACTTGTCGTAGTAGTGGTCGGAGAAGCGCTTGTGGTCCGAGGTGATGAACCCGTAGGCACTCACCTACAGCAAGGTGGGGGGAGATGGGCCTGTGGTCACTGCCGGTCACTGCCGTCCGGGCTGTGCTGTGCACGTGCGTGTGTGCCCCCGTGTCTTCACCCACTTTCCGGGTCTGGGTCAGGCCCCTTGGATGCACATGCCCGCATGCACGTGTATGCACCCACTCGCCTGCACCCACTCACCTCCCGCTCATGGGGGCTACGCGTCCAGCCCAGCCATTGTCCCCGGCGGAGCAGGGCTGGGCCTCGCTGTCTCTCCAGGTCCCCCTGGTCCTGAGGGACAGCCTTACCCGGTCACAGAGCTGAAGGGCAGTGAGTAGCAGCAGAGCCCCCGTGGTGGGGCGGTAGATTCTCCAGTGGGCGGTGTCCAGGGTCTTAGACCTCAAAAACCTGTGGGAGACCACAGACCCTGAGCCGTCAGGGGTCTGCTGGGAGGCAGGCGGCCTGGGAGGGTCAGGGGTCTGTGGAGGCGGCCGGCCTGGGAGGGTCAGGGATCTGTGGAGGTGGGCCGGACTGGGAGGGTCTGGGGTCTGCTGGGAGGCGGGCAGCCTGGGAGGGTCTGGGGTCTGCTGGGAGGCGGGCAGCCTGGGAGGGTCTGGGGTCTGCTAAGAGGTGGGCTGGCCTGGGAGGAGATGGGATCTCACCTGTTCTTCATGTACCGGAGCAAGTCCGGGTGCAGGAGAAAGTACCGGTCCAACCGCAGAGCTTCCCGGAAGGCCTCCTGGGGCCGGCGCCTGGGGTGGACAGGGGTCAGGCCCAGCTCCCTCACCTCCTGGGGCGGGCTGAGCACGGGACAGGGACACGATGACCAGCCTGGCTATGACCCAGCCCAGGGGCGCCAGGGGGAGGCAGGGTACCTGAACCAGAACAAGTTCTTCGACTTCAGGGTCTGGTTCCGAAGCAGGGCTGCCAGCCACTCAAAGTCCCGGGAGCCTTCCAGGAAGTGCAGGTAGCGAATGTTCTAGGACCAAGGACAGCGAGTGGTCGAGAGGACGGTCCTCTGTGCCCAGAACCGAGCCTGCATCTGCCACAAGCACACCTGCTGGTGTCACCTGGGTCTCTAACCCGCTTCTCTCGCTCACCTGGTCCACAGGCACATTCCGGAAGCCCTGCGTGCCCAGCAGGGACAGGGACAGGGTCAGGGAGAAGGCAGTGAAGCCATAGAAGGACGTCCGCGTGCCCACATCCTCTTCATAGCCCTTGATGACAGCCCCGCTCAGCCTGCACGGGACAAGGGACACAAGACGTGGATGCGCACGGGCTGTGAGGGCGCACCTGGGCAGAAGGGGGCGGGACCTGGCGCTCACCGGAACACGTAGTCGTGGGCGTCGATGTCCCGGCCCACCTTGGAGTCATTCAAGATGCCCCCGTTGCCCACCACGGCGCAGCTGATGCAGCGGGATGAGCCCACGGGGAGGCTGGCCAGGAGCAGCTGCTGCTGGTGCACCGGGGGGAAGCGGGTCACCACCCCCTCAACCACTGGAAAAGGGGTGTCCACTCAGGCTGGAGGGGCGACCTGCCCCACCACCCGGCCCCCTGGGGTGCAGCCCCAGGTCTCACGGGAGTAGTTGAGCTCCATGAAGCCGAAGGGTGGCGCGAAGTGCTCCAGACGCTCCCACTCGGCTCGGCTGAAGCGCCCCGAGTCCAGGAAAAGGGTGAGGTTAGGCAGGAAGAGGGGCCGCAGCCAGGGCGAGCGGGCAGCTTTGACCTTCAGAGAGTCGGGACACGTCTGTGTGCAAAGGGACAGGGTTAGACTGGGGGACCTGAGACCTGTGGGTCAGGGCTGGGGTACAGAACCCTGGGCTTCCATGCATCCTGGCAGTTCTGGGACCTGGTGGGTGTTAGAGGGCTGGGTCCACGTGCCTGGGCCTGTCAACACCCAGTTTGAAAAAGGAAGGGAGGAGGAGGAGGAGGAGGCAGAGCTGTGGGTTCCAGGTCCCCAACTGCTCACCCAGAGTTGGGCACAGAGGTGGTGGAATTGGCTCTGCTGGGAGGAGGTGGCATTTCTAGGGCCTGGGGCTGGGCAGTGAGGCTGGTGTCCCTGTGTTACCCTCCTTCACCCTAGCCCATCACAGACGATGGAGGTTCAAGTTTGCTGCCCCAGAGCAGGTCCTGGGGCACCTTCCTCACCCCATGCTGTCTGGCTCGGGGGTCTGCTGGCTCTGCCCAGCCACTCTGGGGGCAGCATGCCAGGAACAGCGCCTGGGAGGAGGGGGACAATGCCTTGGCTCTGGAAGGGCTGGTGAGGAAGGTGACCTGGTAAGGGGTGGGCTAACACTCACTGTCTGCAGGCCTCCCGCTTCCAAGCTGTAATTCTCCTCAAAGTGCCAGCGAGGCTCAGACTTGAAGTTGTTGGCCTTCAGCTCCGGGCGGCTTTGCAGGCTGGGACTTGGGGAAGGCGTGCTGCCCTGGGCGTGGGGGCCCTTCAGCGTGACCGTGAGCTTGGCTTTGCTCTTGGTGTGGATGCCCACCGAGGGTCTGTGGACAGCAGCTGTGGTGGTCCTCGGACTGCTGCTTGTTGAAAGCCTCTTTGTCATGCTCACCCCTCTGTCCCGATGCTCCTGGGACACTCTCTGGGGGGCTGCCGGCTGGCCCGTGTCCCCCCTGGTTCTCTGCAGAGACGGCGTGGCCGCCCTGTCAGCGGGCTTCCTCTGGTCTGGACTTGGTGACAGTGTCTTCAGGGTGGGCTCCTCTTCCCCCTGACTCTTTGGTGCCCTCCTCATTGCTGTGGGGGGTGCTCTGTTTCGCTCTCCAGGCGAGGCCTCCCTGGCCCCCCTGGTGCTGAGCCCCTGGGCAGTGAGGGCACGGGTACTTGGGTCCGTTCCCATTGTGGGCACCCTGGAAGTTGCCTCTTGTAGCTCCGAAGACCTTTTGTTAATCTCTGGATTTTTATACCTACGGCCCAAAACAGGACAGAAATTTAAGTAGTATTTAAAGTCTCTTGTGTCCTAGGAAGACTTCAAACTCATCTCCACCACCCACTGCTAAAAATTCATCATTGATCCAGGATCTGAAAACTGGCGGGGGAAATGGCAGGGGAGGGGGGTTCCTGCTGGTGCCAAAACTGGGGCAGACGATGGATAAGAAGAATTAGCATTGTAAATGTGTCAGTACCACCCGAAGTAATCAACAGAATGCAATCCCAATCCAGATCACATCAATATTCTTTATGGAACTGGAAAACCAGGCATCACCTTTATGTGGAAAGGGAAAAAACCCTCAAATTCAAACTGTTACCACACAGTCAGAACCGACTCAGAGCTCTCACTGGGTTTTTGAGGCTGTATCTCTCTCCCCAGGAGATGATGGTGAGTTTAGTGGATAGAGAGTTGTGGGGTTATGCCCACAGCTCCTTCCCGACCACACCACTGAAGCTCCTCGCGGAAGGAAAGAGCCCTCACATCTGAAGAACAGCAAGCAGGGAGTCTCACGTTACCCGATTTCAAGACTTCCTCTACAGATGTGCTCTTCCTATACAGATGTGCTGGTCAGAATGGCTTGGTCCTGGTACAGCAACAGGTGGACCACGCTGGTGGAACACAACTGAGAACCCATCTGTGGACATCTGGTCATTGATAAAGAACTGAAATCCACTAAGTGGATAGCACAAATGGCGCTGGCAAAACTGGACATCCATTTATGGAAAAATGAGAAAGGAATTATACCTCACACTATATTAAAGAATGAAAAACCTCAGTGTAAAACCTAAAATTAAAAAGACCATCACAGAAAGAACAGGAACAAATATAAACTCAAACTCAACTCACTGCTGTCAAGTCAGAACTGACCCAGAGCTGACCCTCCAGCAGGTTTTCAGAGGCTGTACTTCGCGTGGGCGACTGCCCATCTTTCTCCATAGGATTCCAACCACTTACCTTTGGGTTGGCAGCTAAACTCTTTGCCCAGTAGGCCACCAGAGCTCCTTGCAATTAGAGATCTATCTTAAAGAAAGAGGGGCTGCAATATGAACAGGGTACGCACACTCATGTTCACGAAAGCAGTGTTTAGAATAGCAGAACTGTGCTGTTTACAATTAAAGATTACTTTCTTAGCCACTGACTTCGGGTGTGGACGGTCAGGAATACACAAATAGGGCCTATTAGCCTATCCACCAGGGGATGGACTAGTCTCACCAGTCTACAAGGAGATGTGCTAACCTCGCCATTAAATTGAGCAGATTCAGCAGTGGAGAGGTTCTCTCTCACTGCTAGCAAGGGAGTCTCGAGCCAGCTAGACTTGTAGCAGCCACGGGCGAAGCAGAGAATCAGACAGCCCACATGAGATGGGGCTGTTCTTGGAACTGCTACCCCCTCAGACAGAACCAGAGCTAAGCTAAGAGCCTTTGCCCAAGTTTGTTGGAATACTTGGGGGCAAGGGGAGCCAATATTGGTAGGATTGAGAACTTTGTAACATGGGCCTTAAGACGTGAGGCTTGAGGCTGAGGTGCCTACAAGTTTTGGAAGCCCTCCTGATCTCCTGACTGACGCTACCTGGACTATAACCTTTTAACTTCCCCAATACAGTTCTGTGTGGTCTCAGAGCTATCACATCCGATTTTGGACTCAGTATAGCACTAAGATCAGTGTTGAGATGAGTAGAAATAGGTATGAGAACATGGGGGACATGTGTGACCTCATGGGAATTGGTTTTGTGCTATATAGATGCTGTTGACGGGACAGTTTCCCTTTGTGAAGATGGTAAATGTCAGGTATGGGTGTCCCCATGCAGCCCTTGATCTTTTCATGAAAGCAATGGAAACAACCTAAGTGTCCATCAACTGATGGATGGATAAATGGATTATGGTATGTTCACAGTGTGGAATACTATGCAATTATGAAGAATTCACAAAACACCACATAAGGTGGATGAATTGGGAGGACATTATGCTGATCAAAATAACTGGTCACAGAAGGACATATATTGTATACACACACTGTTTTTAAAAGCCAAGGAAAGATTTATACACTGAAAGAAATACTTAAGATGAGTGTTGTTGTTACGTGTCGTCAAGTCATTTGCGACTCATAGTGACCATATGTACAACAGCCCTAAATCCTGCTCTATCCTGTGTCTCCGACACACCTACTCCCACCACCCCAGTCACTGAAATGATCCATCTCATCGAGGGTCTTCCTCTCCTTTACCGCCCCTCCATTCTCCCAAACATGATGTCCCTCTCTAAGGACTGGTCCCTCTGTGCAATTTGCCCAAAGTATATCAGACGAAGCTTCAGAATCTTTGACTCCAAGGAGCAGGCCAACTTCACCTTCTCCAGGACAAACCTGTTTGTTCTCCTAGCAGTCCATGGTATAGTCAACACTCTTCTCCAGCACCACAGTT